AAACAGTGACTGAAGTCCTGAAAGTGTCCTGAAATGGCGGCGTGTCCAAAGAATTCCAGAATTTGAGAAGAGGATGACCCAGAAAGTGTTCCTGAGTTGGGAAAAGAAAAGCCAGGAGTGAGCAAGACCTTACTAAAGGCCAGGAAAAGAAGGCCTTTTAAGGAGGATGCAGTGAGTGCTGCTAAGAGATCAAGGAAAATGAGGAACTGAAATAGTGACCTCCACAAGATGCCTAAACTGTGCTGATATTGTATAATAAGTCTCATGCATCTTCTGAATTGTCTGTGTCTTTTGCCTGACTGGGAGGGGGTGTGGCTGAGTTAGATCCAGCACAAGCTCCTAGAGACCTGGCTTCATTCCAGCAACAATCAGCATGGCATAATAAACAAGACCACTATAAGAGAAACACATTTTTGACAAGGTATTTATTAACACATGCTTTAATATCAGAGAGACTCAAGTGGGCTCACATCAAAAACCATGAAGCATGTATTTCTTGTGCAATGCTGTTAAGATAGGTATCTAATAAATTTTGGTCTTCAGAACCAAAGCTCTATGAAATGTACTATTGCCTTTATTTAACATAGACTGTTGAAGGTACAGGAATCTACTAGCTACTGAAAACTGCAGAACCCTACCCCTGGTGTATCTTTATTTGTGGAAGATAAATTCTAAAAAATGTGCCATAGAACAGGATGAAAGTCATTTTCTAAGTTGAAATTATAAAACTTTATTATCAAAACTGACATTTTTCAAGATAAAAACAGAGCACATTAATAATTAATGAACTCAACAGAAAGATTCCAAAATAAAGTTTCTACAAATTTAATTCTCTTAAACAACTGTAAATATATAGTATATATAGCTTTACCTGAATTAAAAATTCTCAAGGCCCTCATAAAGTTACTCTTCATCAAGAATAAAATTCTACGTATATAGGGAATTAAATTCAGAAAAAATTTAGTTAACATATTGAATGTAATTAAACATTGTTAAAATATCAAAACAGAGCAGTACATTTCAGAGTATATATGTGTAGTGATTTTTAAGGCTCTAGTGAGACACACTCTAAAATGTAGCTAAGCAATGTATTAATAATGTATTAGTCACACAATGTAGTTAAGATCATTATAGAAAAATAAATTATATATGTGATTGATATATAAATCTATATACATAAATACATATCATTTCCTCTTATTGGATTTTAGGAAAATATGTGTCATAGTTAATTCTTTCTATGTTGTATTTTATTTACAAGTTAGGAACTTAATAAATAATTATTTGGTATTAAATGGTTCAGTAAGACTTACCCATATATGCTGTACTTTTATATACATTATTGCATTTTTAAAAATCTATAATTTTCAACAACAAACCTCAGAAGTAAATATAAAGGAAATTTCTTCTCCCTTAAATCTCGGATCCTGTAATCAGATTAATCTTCCTAAAATTATTTCCTCTTATTAGTGCCACATAAATTATTCAGTGGCTCCCATTTTCTACAGAATGAAGTTCAACTCTTTATTCTGACATTCAAAATATTCCATGCTTTGGCCTCAAACTTTATTTTCAAACCAGGCCATGCTCTTCACTGACTCAGTATCAGCAAAGCTCATTCCAACCCTGAGCTGTGTTCCTCACTTCCAATGCTCCCCTTTCTCATCTTCAAATCCTATGGCTTTATTTATTTATTTATTTAGTAGACTCCACACTCAGTTTGGGGCTTGAACTCCCAACCCTGAGATCAAGAGTCCCATGCTCTACTGACTGAGCCAGCCAGGTGCTCCAAACCCTATGATCTTTAAATGTTCCATTTGACTCCCACCTCCCCTGTGTAAATTTCCCTAATGTTTCTGATGCTTTCCTCTAATCTGGTCTTTAACACTCATGTTGGCTTTTAAATAACCACGCTCATGTACTGTTACCAAACTAGTTTCTGTTTTTAAGACTTGTCTGTTCAACTAAATGGGAAATTCCTTGATTAGTGCCTTTGGTGCCTAGGACAATCCTGAGTATATAATTATAAACACATGCTAATATCATCTTAATCACCTCTGACATTTTACTTCATTCTTACAATTTTTCTTTCCAACTACAGAAACAGCACAACTAAAGGCCAAGTTTACTGTTGCTGTAGTGTCTCTCATTCTCTCCAGAAGCCAACTGACTTTGCTCTTTGCTCCCATTATTAATGCATGAAATTTACTGTGCAACTAAAATACATGGAATCTGGAATTTTCTTCAAACCAGGGGCTAATACCTTTAATTTCATCAAGTCTTAGGTAAGTTTCTGTCTTTTGTGATAAATGTATATTTACAGATAGATTTTTTCCTTTTAATGGAATATTTTGGAGGTTCAATCAATTTCTCTGAAATTATAGAGCTTTAAAATAACTGCAGGTTTCCTTCCATTGAGTATGATGTTTTTTCCTTTTTTCTCTCCTTTTCCTAACTGAGCAAAGGGAAGGGGGTATAGAAGTGGTAGGATATATGCTTTTTAAAAGGCCACCCCGGGCTGGGTATAGAAAAGCATAAATTATGGTCCTAGCTTCCTCTACTGCGTAGGCAGCTTTGCTCTGCTTAAGACTGTTAGGCTTGAGGTTCAAATCTACAAATCCAAGGCAGCTGTAATCCCAAACCAGCATGGTTCTCTTCCTCCATATAACTGTAGCACCCATTTATTAATCACCTCCTATATGTCAGATACAGTATTGGTTGCTTTATATATCATCTAATTATCATAATCAAGTGAATCATGATTCCCATTTTACAGAAGACAAAAGGCTTACAGAGGCTTAGAGATGTTAAGTAATTTGAACAACTAGTAAGTGGCACAGCTAGAGTTTGGATGTAGAACTGATTCTAAAGCCTCTGCTCTTTTCACTACACCTTGCAATGTCAGTGCCTTGTATTGCCAGGAATTCTGTTTCGGGAATGTTGGGGCTTGTACTGATAACCTTGGCAGCTATTGGGAAGGACAGAATAATAATAAAATGTTTTAGTGTGTTTGAGGAGGCTCACCAACAGTCCTCTCCTGCACACACTTACTCCAGTCTTCGTTTATTGGTGTTCCCCACTCTGACAATTTACATTACAGTTTACACCAAATTTGGCACTGTCCCTTTTGTTATGGAACATATGATCACATGTCTTGGTAGGTGGAAGGAGAGCTGGCAGTTTTTACCTTTGTCAAGGTTCAAGACAAAAACAACAGTATGAAATCAACACAATAAGAATATATATACATATATTTCATATGTGTATTAGAAATTCTCCCTGTAGTAATAGATCACAAAGACAAACTTAAATAAGACTATATAGTCTTGTTGTTCTGACATATGAATTCCAACCTTCAGCTGTTAGTTTACTTATTTGAAGTACAGTCAATAGAAGGAAATTCCAGTGTGACAAGAATTTTGACAATCTATCAGTATTATCTCTAATGGGATCTAGTTACATTGTGATTTTCCAGGAAGGATGTAGCTGTGTATGTATGTTTTAATCTGGCAGTTACTCTTATTCTAGTCATGCTGTATGTGTCAATTCCCATTGCTGTTTTATTAGGACCATGGGAGGAGAGAGGCTATTCTTCCCTATTTTTCTATACTTGAGAGTTTACCGCATAATGTTCTCTTAGTAATTTAAGAGTCTAAAGATTTCTATGCTGATTTAACCAATGTTTTACATTTAGTTGGGCAGAAGTTTATTAATAAGTATTTGTCACCAAACAGATCTAACTGTATAAATATGTATTATATAATTACATTAAGGATAATTTGTGTTTGAGTCAATAACCTTTCATTCTTGTATCATTTTAATATTAGGTATTTAAAATGCTTTTATAAATCAGATTTTTTTGGTGTGTTTAAAAAAGTAACACTAATTTAGTAAGAGACTAGGGTGCAGTTTTCAATGGCATTGACAGTTATGGTGCTATAGAAAGAAACTATACCTGGAATCTAACTTTATAGTGTCTTGGCTCTGCCTCTTGATTTTTATCTTGGAGAAATCACTTCATCCACTTACTCATCTACAGGATAAGAATAATAATTTCCATCCCCCAATGTTTTTTATGAAGACTATATGGCATATAGGAGCTGTTCTACAGAGGCAAAATTGGGTTTAAGGGACAGGGGCATGGCAAGGAACTAGACATCTCAGAAGGGAGCAGGGAGGGGCTCTTTATGGAGTTTGAACTAAGCATTATTAGTCACAGAGCCCAAGTACTATGTATGGTAGGCCTAGAATACCTCTCCCTGAAATTCTACTTCCAAAGACCAGACTTCCCTACTGGGGGTGAACTCAACCCCGGGGCATATTTTGTGATTTTTGTCCTTGTTGCCCTTCCCCCCAGGACTGTAAATTTTGGAGAAGCCATTCCTTCACCTTTGTGTCCTTCTGGGAACCAAACCGATCATTAGTATATGTGCTTAATGTGTTTGATATTAGACAAAGTCCCTATACAGAATAGGGAATCAGGTTAGCAATTGAATAACCATTAGCAGCATTTAAGTTAAAGCCAATTTTAAGTTCTTCCTTCTCTCCAAAGGAAAGAACAGTGGTGTTTTTCCTAAACGAAAATCTTAAATTGAATTGGGTCGCTAGTGTTCAGCCTAAAGCCTAAAAAGAAATAGGTGCAAGGTTGGGGACGACGATAATTAACCATATTTTGGTTGTGCTCTGGCTCGGGAGGAGCCCTGGCGCTGGTCCCAACAGGAATGCCCGTCCCACCCAACCCGAGTTGTGGGGTGCAAGGCAGACGGTTGTCTCCGTCCCTCCAAGCCACTGTGGCTGGGTTTCTGGTCTTGAGAGATGCAGATGAAGTGGTGTGAAGGGTTGGGCTTTTTTTTTTGTTCCTAAAAATGCAACGAACAAAAAAAAAAGTACAACAATCCAAACCCAACCATCTTGTTGCGCGCCAGCTTTCTTCCCGGATGGCTCCACCGGGGACGGCGCCGCCTCCTGTCGCCCGCGCTCCGTCAGGCCCAGCCCACGCGTCTTAGCGAGCCGTCAGCCAGCCAGCGCCCAGGCTCGGCCGACCCTGGGCACCGCGCTCCGCGCCGCGCGCAGCCCCTCTGGAAGGGAGAGAAGCGAGCAGCCCGGGACCCTCCCCTCTTCCAGGCGCACCGCGGGCGGTGGCAATTATTGGTGGCGGTTGTTGACACCGGAAGGACTCCCGCCTCACCTCACCCACAGCCCCCCACCCCCACCCAGGGAAAGGCGAGACTCGGGAGACGGAACAAAGGCGAAGCCCGGCCGAGGAGGCGGACCGAGGTGCCGGGAGAGGAGGGCGGTGGGGCGGGGCACGGCTGGCGCCGCGAGTCCATTTTGCCGCCGTGCCCAGCCGGTAACGCGCGGTCCTCCGCCTGGAGGACAGGCGGCCGCGCGGCTCCAGGTGGGGCCCCTCCCGCGGCCCCCCGAGGTCCGAGATAAGTACCCGGCGGGTCCCTCTCAGGGTAGGGGGGTGTGATCCTTGGGCCTGCTGCGAGGGTGGGGACTTGCCCTGGCAGGACAGCGACCTGCGTGGGTGGGGGTTTGGCGGAGAGCTCAGTTTGAGCTCCACAGCTGCACAGCGGAAACCAGCTGGGCGCTGGAACGGGGCGTGGGTTGGAGCGGCGTGCAGGGGGCGTCAGCTGGGCCCGTGCAGCGTGTCTGTGTTCCAGAAAACCTGCTCCGCTACGGATTTTGCCCGGCTTCACTGCCAGCGCCTCCGTATCGCCTAGGAAAGAAAAGGCGACCATGAATCACAAGTCGGAGCACTCAGCACTTTCTGGCACTGAACCTGGGGAGGTGCCTGGCGCCGGGGGAGGGCGCCCTAACCAGGAAGCTCCTTAGTACTGCACAAAGATCTTCGGTCATGCTGCTGGCTTTTTCACCAGGTCCTAGCACGCTGGCTTTATTTGTGGGGGACGACTGAAAAAATTAAGGGTCAAGACTAAGGATCCTGTGCAAATAAATGCATAATACTCTCTTCTTTGTTCTTTCTTTGCAGTAGCCTCGTTTGATTGTCAATCACAAAGTGAGAAAAAAACAAAAACCTGATTGCTTTGTCCTGGGAAATAGTAACCCTGACGAATACACCTGCTCGCAGGGGACAGAGGTAAACTACAATACTTCTCTCTACAGTAAGAAACCAAAAAAGCACCCAGGTTTTTTTTCTAGGCCCAGAATCATGCAGAATTGAACTAGGTGTAGAATGTGTTCCCATCCTCATGGGCGGTCTCTGTTCTTTTCATATTTTTTCAAAACTCAGAAGAATAGGATTCAGTATTTGGAAAATCTTTATGTAGCAATTATTCGACATATATTGCAGTCCACAGATTTATAATGAAAAGGAAAAGAGAGGCCTTAGTAGCATTTCTTTTTTTTAAGATTTTTTTTTCCTTCTCCCATACCGTGCTGCTAGGACCTGTACAAATACTGTTTTCTAACTCTAGAGACTTTTATACAATCGGTATTTTAAAAGCAGAATTTCATTTACATAGCCACTCCTTCTGGTAGAACTTGATGGAGCTGTTGATTAACTGCTTATACTTCTGTCTTCTACAATGAGAAGGTACATTTCTTCAGGCTCTCCTTTTCTTAAAAATACCATTCTTTTTTTGCACTAGCTGAGATACTAAGCCTCCCTGGTAAGTCCTTCCATAACACCAGGTTATTCTTTCCATTCTATACATTTATGACTGTCTGGTTACCTGGTCTTACTTGTACCACAGCTACTGTTCAGATATGCCTGTTTCCATGAAAGTGCTTTGTACCTGCTATCCTATATAATGCTTTACCTTTTCATGAAATTGTAGTTCAAGAGAGTCCGGCTCTCTTTCAGGACCTTTCTTGGTTAATAGACTCATGCTCTAAAATAACACTTTAAATGTGAATTTACATTTTGTGTATTTGTACCCAACTGTAATTAATCCACCTTACATTTATATAGTTTAGCAGTTTACAAAACTGGCACTCATTACTTAATATTCCCAGAAACATGATGAGATAGATAATGTAAAAATCCTCATTCTATGAAGGTTAAAACTCCTGCTTGAAGTTAGGTATTCAGAGACAGGTTCAGTGCTCTGTTTCCTCTACTAGAGAGCCTGTTATAGCCTAATTTGTAAAAATCATAAAATTTTAGAAGGGATTTAGAGAGCCATGATTAAACTTTTCCATTTTATGAATGAGAACACTGAATTCTTGATCCACTTTCTGGATAGTGCTAAAAGTTTAAGAATTGGGGAACTCAGGTCCTAAGCCTAGCTTGCTGTGTATAATTGGGAAAGCTCCATTTTTGGAGTTGGGGGGGGGGCTCAGTTTTTTCAATTATAAAGTTAGGTGTTTTCTAGATGGTCTCTAAGATACTTTTAGACCGAGTGCTTCTCTTTTTTAATTTTTTAAATTTTATTTTATCATGTTATGTTAGTCACCATACATTACATCTTTAGTTTTTGATGTAGTGTTCCATGATTCCTTGTTTGCATATAACACCCAGTGCTCCATTCAATACATGCCCTCCTTTATACCCATCACCGGGCTAACCCATCCCCCCACCTCACCCCCCAAAACCCTCTGTTTCTCAGAGTCCATAGCCTCTCATGGTTCTTCTCCCCCTCCGATTCCCCCCCTTCATTTTTCCCTTCCTACTGTCTTCTTTTTTTTTTAAACATATAATGTATTATTTGTTTCAGAGGTACATAGACCTAGTACTTCTTTTTATTCCTACTCCAAAACTTTTATTACCATATATTCCCTTACACGTATTGGTAATCCTAAACACACATTAATATTAACTGCCTTAAACTGTTTTATATTTTAAATTTGGGTAGGTATGGTAAAAATGTATGCCTTATTCTTGGTGTTTTACTAAACTATAAAAGTATGGTTCTATTGTAAGATCAGGAACTGCATGGAGAAGTGGGGCACTCATACATCATTGGTTAGAGTTCATAAATTGGTATACCCCTTCTAGAGGGAAACCTGACAATCTTTTCAAGGTCTTTAAAAGTGTTTCTACTCATTGACACACCTAACAGTACACTTACAGGAATCATCTAAGGAAATAATCAGAGCTGTGGACCAAGACTTTTCTACAAGATGTTCATTTAAATGTTATAATCCAAAAAGACATATAGCCAATAAGAGCATATCCATAAGATGGACTATCACATTTTAGAAGAATATATAATAATAGGGGAAATACATGTGATAAAGTAAGTGAAAAATGGTGGATACAAAATTGTGTGAAGCTACCAGTTTTGTTAAAATAGGTATGTGCACAAACACAACACACACAAGATTGGAAGAGATAAAACAAAACAGTAATAATGGTTATTCCTTGCTGATGTGATTATGGGTGATTTTTCCCCTGTACTTTCTGAATTTTCTATACTCACAAATTACTTTTATAGTTGGTTGCTTGGATAACCTCTCTAACTTCAGTATGGTGTCAACTTTCTATGTCCTTTTTTTATAAGGCATTTATCATACCTTTTAGAGGAACAATATCTTTGTAAATGTGCTGTATTTCGGAATTTAGGGCAGGAATTGACTTTTGGCTTATATTTCATCTTTTTAAATATCATTAGGTCATTGGATTATTCATTCTTATTATTCATTAAAGACACTGCCATCTTCATTACCTTGGCCTTGAACTCTGGATTCTAGAATGGTACTGATGAATAGAGTGCTATGCCCACTTCTCATAACAATTAACCCAAATACAGGCGTCCTCTGACATAAAGAATAGTTTCATTCCCATTAAGCCTTCTATAAAGCAGTTTCCTGTAAACTTCAAAAAAAAATCATTTCCGGGGCGCCTGGGTGGCTCAGTCGTTAAGTGTCTGCCTCCGGCTCAGGTCTTGATCCCAGGGTCCTGGGATCGAGCCCTGCATCGGGCTCCCTGCTTGGTGGGGAGTCTGCTTCTCCCTCTCCCACTCCCCCTGCTTGTGTTCCTGCTCTTGCTATCTCTCTGTCAAATAAATAAAATCTTATTAAAAAAATAAAATAAATCATTTCCATTGTATATGGAGACATATTACTAAGGAAAAGTTGAACTGAAAATTTTTGACAGTTTAAATTCTTGTCTTTCGTGTGGCATTAGTACCACAAGTATATTCTACGGCAGTAGCCAGGTTCCCCATTATAACTCCATGAGGAGCTTTTTTATTCCCCCCTGCATATTTGTGGTATTGAATATGAGCGAGGAGTGCCCACATAGTATATATAATATAGCCAACCTAAAAATTGCTTAAAGTTTAGCATAATTGGCTTTCTACTTGATGTATCTTGTAGCTCACGTTTGCTTTAGAATAAGATGTATACATAATTCTACACTGAGCAAAAGGACCTTTGTTACACTAATTATATTTCCAATAGGCATCTCAGAAGTAAGTTATTAGTTGATATGTAGTACTTATCATTTATTTACAAAGTGCCTATTTTCCCTTCTACAGTATTATATGTGACATAAGTAACCTCACTTATCTAGATAAATCCAGCTAGCTACCCACCAAATGCTAGACTTTGACAGTACTTTCTGAAAGCTGGCATTAACCTGAAATACAGATTTAGATGATGATGGAAACTTTTTAATAGATACCAGCCAATAGTTATTGCCAAATTTATGGTTGTAAAAGAAGACAAATTGTTTTAGGGGTAAAAATTTTCCAGCTTCATGAAACCCACTTACATTTATTTGGGAGAAAAGAGACCAGACATTTCTGGTTTGACCTTTCCAGAAGTCATTAGTTCCAACTTAACTAAACTGGAACTCTTAACAGGTAAAGATAAATATCTGAATCTGGTTGGTACCAGAGTAGGAGAATAATTTAGTCTATACGTATGTTTTCCTCAAATTCAGACTCATTCAAATAGATTTCATCTGGGTGGGAGAGAATAGGCTTCAATACTGTTTGGAAATCACAGACTTCTGTGGGGGTTTTTTTGTTGCTAAATTAAAAAAAATTTTTTTAAGTAATCTCTACATCCAACATGGGGCTTGAACTTATGACCCTGAGATCAAGAGTTGCATGCTCTACTGACTGAGCCAGCCAGGCATCCTCCCACAGATTTCTTGATAGCTGTACAGAAGTGGGATAGTGGGATATCTGATCGAGCTGGTATCCTAAAACCCTATTGATATAATGCTGTTACAGAGTAATAGCTGGGGTAATTATCAAGAGACACAAGGAAAAGATAAAAGGGAAAGAAAGATAAGGTGAACAGGCAGGTAGGGGATAAGGAAAGAATAGGAGGAAATCAAAAGATTGTACACCTTGACATGAGGAGTATGATGAGTTAAGAGAATAAACAAAGGAAAGAGGCAAGACAAAATAGTGGTTCAGAAAAGAGAATGAAGAAAAGGAAAAAACCTGTTTTTTTGAGTGGTCTGGACTAACTAGTAAGGGTAATGACCTGGCTTTTACGTTTCTGAAAATGTTACCATAGTCCAAAACCTCTGTGAAATTGCTGAGTAGGTGGGTCTTCCAAGCTGATGGATCTTTTTTCTAGCTTTATTTTGTCCTACTAATCAGGAATCCTACTAGAAATATCCTGGGGTAAATTCTAACTACTAATTCTAGGATCATGCCAGAAAACGGAAGTTTCTTATTGTCTTACATTGACACATAAGTAACTTTTATATTGTGTTTGCAGGAGCCACGTAACAATTACACAAGCTATTTTAGACACTATATGTATCTTCCATAGTCCTTTTGTGAGATTCTTAAACTCACTTTATCCTGTTTTGATCATATAAGTTATGGAACAGTCTCTAAAAGCCATAATAAAGTATAACAACACATTGATAAGGAGCACTTAAAACAAATATTTTGTAAATAATTTTCATATATTATGACTTTCAAAACAGTTGTATAACGAGGAGAGAAACTGCAATATGTACATGTGGTTTGTCAAAGGCTACTGTCTAAGAACCAAACAAGAACAAACCAAACAGGCCTCCTCACAGGCCTGGATCCAGAGATTCTCAGTAATAACATTTTTTATTTTATAAAAGATAAAACAATACTATAGCAGATCAAGCTCTTGTAAAGCTTATCTTACCTAGCTAATGCTTCTGAAGTTTTGCTTTTTAAGCTCAATTTCTTATAA